CTTTAATAGCATTAAATGAGCAAGTAATTACGATGATCACAACACTGCCACGTTATGTCATGATAGAAATTTCGATGAGATTTTAAAGAAAATCTCCATCACCGTTTTCTCATCCAATGATAATGACAGAAGTATCTCTGTAAATATCGCGTGAGATCTTTCCTTGAAAATGACATTTGCCATCCCTGCCTTGTGTCGTGACCGAACTCGATTTCTGGACAATCCATTTCCAAGCGGTTGAAACTAGAACCTTCTTTCTTTTTTTTTTCTAGTTTTCGGTAAATAGTCGATTTTTTATTTTTTGCTTCCGTTCGTTACGAACTCACTCTTAAGACTGATTTGTTGTGTCCTTTTTATCAACTAGCCTACTATTGATTTCACCGATCATAATCTTTACCTCAAACTATATATTTCGCCTACTATCGATCTATAATGAATGTCAACATAACAAACAATATATTTGTCCTATTTTCTACACCTTGGATCACTTGATCGCCTCAAGCAGCTTTTCACAATTGACCTAGTATTTGTCGTTCTTATCCCGAACCAACAGCTTCACCGACGGAATGCCCTCCCCGCCGTCCTTCTCGATTCTGCTTCAAAAAGTCGATCTTCTTTTTGCTGGTCAGGGAAAAGATGGACTTTTCGTACAGCACCGTAATCGTATCGGTCAGCTCGTATCCCAGCAGGCAGGTCTGCAGCGAGCTGGATTTCCTGGTTTACGCCGACCGTTGTCAGAATGCAATCCATCTTATGCAGTGAATCATCATGGGAAAACTCTGGTTCCTTCCAGTTGGCGTAAAGGCGACACTTCCAGTTGTTCTCCGGTCTTTTGACGTAGAACTACGTCTGTGATTTCTATATGAGGGTACACTTTGTGAAAACCGAAAATGGAACATGTAACGAAATTATGAAAGATTTTGAATGATAATAACTCAGCTGCCCCCGGACTAATGACAATAATTTTATCACCAATCGATCAGAAATATTTTTACGCATCAATCGCAATGCTTCCGACTGTTGATTTTTTTTTATCAAGTAACTATTGAAAAGTGGTAAATGTCGAAATAACTAACAAATCCACCAATTACGTACATGCATTTCCTGCTTCCCCAACACAGTCATCAGAGAATCGTTCCTAGACGAAACATGTCGATGTAGCATTGCTGCTTCCCCGACACTGTCATCAGAGAGTCTTTAGTAGAAGAAACAGGTCGAAGTGGCATTCGCCTCCAGTCTTTGGGCGTGTGCGAACAGGGAGGACGCAATTGCGTAACATTTTGCACACTCATCGCCACATTCAGAACCACACGCCTTCAACGACCACACAAAATGCTCTCCAGAGTTGTAATCTTGTAACCAAACTTGGAAGCAGGGGTGCAAGTGATTTTGATCGATTCTCCTTATCGACTTTCTGTTTCGTTAATAACTCGACACACATTCATTGATAGGTTTGTTGTTCTGGATGAAAGAAGAGTATAACATAAATAGTGCGAAATGGGTTAGTGAAGCCATGGTCATCAAAAGAGGAAATCGATGAAGAGAATTGGCTTTCACCCCTCTGCTTCTAAGCCCCTTAATTCAGTCGTCGTCATAGCAATGAAGACTACACACTTCGAAAAAGTAGTGTAAATTTCTGTTCAATATGATGCACATAAATGGAGCGTCACATATCAAATACGTTTACATTATATATCATGTAAACTTCTGACACATTTCATGCAATGTAGTAAATATTGTATACAAAAGCCCATATTTGTAATCAACATTGTTTGCAAGTTGCTCGGTTGCGTGAAATGAAATACAAGTCTACGTGAATGAATGTTTACATCACAATTAAAATTCAGAATTTTTATCTGTGTAGCATCAAATATTACGGTACGTACGGAAAGGTAAATACATTTAGAAGTCATCTGTCTCAAAAACATTCCATTTTGTGCAAAAATTCTACTCGAAAAATAGAGGTAAAGCGCGGATTGTGCTTAGTAGGCCCAAAATTAGATCTAAGCCCTTTTTAACTTCATTTCCCGGACGCCAAATCAGTTTTCGATACCTTTAAAAGGACCATATTTTGGTCTACACAATATTAAATGGATGTCATTAGATTTTCCTGATATGTTTATCTATGGATATTTGCTAAATTAGTTCATTTCCTTGGCGCTAAATAAGCCATTTTTAAAGCTGTGCACATTATGAAATGGGTGGCTATCGTTTTTCTTTATATGTTTACTATAGATGGGTGCTACTTTAGTTCATTTCCCGGGTGCCAAATAAGTTGTCAACTGTTTTATTAGGTTCTCTAATGTATTTTGGGGAGAATTGGGAAAAATCTGCAATTTTGACGTAGGACTACGTCTGTGGTTTCTAAACACGGGTACACTTTGTGAAAAACGAAAATGGAATATGTAACACAATTATGAAAGATTTTGAACGTTAATAACTCAGCTGTCCCTAGACCAATTTCAATAATTTTATCACCAATCGATCTGAAATATTTCTATGCATCTGTAAAAATTTATGACTCTATAATTTTTCAAAACGAAAATTGCACAAATGTGCAACTGTTGCTATGATAATTAAAATTACAACCGATTGTCTCCGAAAAGCGATTTCCCTAACACGGATTTCAAATTTGAATTCCATTCGGTCTCACCAAACGGTGTTTATTCAATCACTGCATGGTAAGTGGTGGTGTTCTCCAGTATACAACGAAAGGCTGCCTACAAGCAGCAAGCTGCAGCCCACATGAGCATCCATAGAAGGAGGAAGAAGTAGCACCGCTATTGATCGGAATCAGTAGCTAACGGCGCCGGTGGTGTAGTGGTAAGCGTGATTACCTCTCACCCCAGCAGGCCTGGGTTCAATCCCAGTCGGCGCCGCCGGGATGTTCTGAGGCATAACATCTCTGATCACGCCTTCCTTCGGATGGGAAGTAAAGCCGTTGGTCCCCGGTTCATGAGTTGATGGGTCGATAGGTAGGGTCCAGGTGTGGGAGCTGCCTTCCTGGCACGTCAGTAGCATTGGTGCTCAGCACGGAAAACAAGATCGACGGAAAAAACAAACCAAAGGAATCAGTAGCTCTTCGTGAGTTGCCTGGGGGCCGTCTATTTCAAGCACGTCAGAGTATAAACAGAGAAATTTCCACTCTAATTCATATTCCTACAAAAAAAAAGCTCTTGCTGCTGTTAACAAATAAGATTTATTATATGTATAGGACCACGTAGTCCTACGTCACCATTGCGTACAACCCCATAGGGCTGTCCATTATAGTTTTTATTTGTGGTGTCCTGTTGGACGGCTGAGACCGCTCACGGTCCATCTCACCAGCATTTTTCCTTGGTTGTCGCTAGACCGATGTTATCATTGCGATTGCAAACTAAACATTCAAACTGTCAGAAATACCGGGTTGCCAAATATAGCATAATATTGATATTTTACCAAAAAATCGCAGCTCGCTCTGCCAGCACTGCCAGCACAGTTGCGACACACTGAGAAAATTGTTGACGCAAGATTGGTGTGTGGAGAGAACTACCCCTTAGGAAATACCCATATTGTAGGGTATACGACAGTTTTTCAAAAATCTATTGCCGCCATATTGGATTTCAAAAAGACGTCTATAATCGTTTTTCGACCTATAAATGTCGTCCCCGTTCTAGAAATAACCATATTATAGAATACTAGCTGATTGTGTCCGGCCTTGCTCGGGATTCAATATAAGCTTGAGTTTATGCGCCAATTAAAAAAAAAAAGCATGCTATATTGTACGTTATCTAAGGGAATACCCCCTATGACCTTAAGATGCCATTGGTTCCATTTGCTTGATTAGTTCTCGAGGTATGCAAAAAATTCTGTTTCATTTGTATGGGAGCCCCCTTCTTACATAGGAGGGAGGGATCTCAAACCATCATAAGAACCTTTCCCTGCCCCAAAAACCCACTGCATACAAATGTTCACGCCAATCGGTTCAGTAGTTTCCGAGTCTATAAGGGTCAGACAGACAGACAGACATACAGAAATTCTTTTTTATATATAGAATAGATATGGATAGATTTGACATTTTTTTCAAAAAACGATGGCCGCCATCTTTTTGACCTCTACACGTCACTCCAGTTCCGAAAATATTCATATTTCACACAAAAATCCTATATGGGCAGGTTTTCGAGGCATATCATATGTATGAAGTTCGCATGTTCACTAGCGCTGTGTAGTGAGAGAGTTCTGAACATCATCTGAAAGGACTTGGTCACCTGAACAAGTTTACTGAAGACATTATCTTTCTATATGGTCAGGATCACTAGATGTTCTATGTTGGACCCTAAGCGCGCGTCATAAGTAATATGAAAGTGAAGCGCCTCTAGCGGCATAGTTCCCAATTAAACCTGAACCAAATGAAACAGGCTTGTTGGTCTACCGCAGTACAACAACGTTGTCGAAGACTATGTAACGTTATATATTGAAACAAATGAGATAATCCACCACAGCGCCTATTAGTGAACATCCTATAAGCGGTGGGTATCCAGCAGTATGGATTCCCAACTGTTAACTTGACGGAAAAAAATCTCGATGAACATTTCAAATGGTCCTATCTGCTTTGATCGATTCTCTTCATCGACTTTCTCTTTTCATAACCACTGCTATGCAAACAAATTTCGCGCTAATTCTACCACATAGTTTGATAAAGGAGGTTCTTATCTAGCGTCCAAAACGTCAAATACAACAGGGAAAGGTTTTGCAGCTGAGTTATTAGCGAAAGAGAAAGTCGATGAAGAGAATCGATCAAAGCAGATAGGACCATTTGAAATGTTCATCGAGAAATACTTCCATGCATAGCATACTTTGATCCATCTGTCAATTTCAACAATTCATAAGATTGAAAACACTCAAAATCAGATTTGCTTAATCTTGATTTAATGGTCCTTTTTAATTAAAAATACAACTACCGGTATAACCGTATTTAAATAACCATTCTAATGTCTCACCTTTCTCCCTCTTTCTTTCAGAACCACCTGTGCCGCCCCTCGTTAACCCATCACGCGTGACCTAGTGTTGCGAGCTGAAGGCCGTTAAACGTGCAAAAGAGACGCCCCGATAAGAGCGTCGTCATCGCAGCTGGAAGAAAGCACGAGGAAATCGATTACAACCGCCGACACACTATTTGATTGGCATTTAGCAGCCATCTCGGCACTCCGGAGCTGGGTGGCGAAAGGATTGCTGTGAAGCTGTGCAAGTGTGCCGGTGTGTGTGTGTGTGTTTGAGTGTGATAGGAAATGTGATTGTGAAATTTGCAATAGCAGACGGAAGCTGATGGTAGTCGATTAGTGCTGACGAAGTTCCGGGGAAGGGGGAATTCGTGCGTGTGTCACAATATTTATCGTGTAATTGGAGATAACTGTGCTGGTGGGTAGCTGGAGAAAGCAAGGAGAAGGAAAGCCTTGTGTAACGCGTTGCCAGTCAGTGATGTTGACAGCGGTGGCGTCGGCGTGGCGTTCGTAGTAGCGCCTCTCGTTCTCTGTATCTCGTTTTCACAGTGTGTCGGATAATCATTATCGCTACCATCGAAGCTTGTCATTAAGTGGGCGTGTGTAAGCAGGTGTAGCGGGGGGTTGAGGTGGTGGTGACGACGGCTGCTGGAAGCCAGTCACTGCTGCCATCACAATTGTTGCCGCTGGAAGAGCTGGAAGACGACGTCAAGTCGTAAAAGTGGTTCAGAGGGAGATTTAATTGATTTCCCGGTCGTTGGCGCGCCGCAGAGTTCATCAATCATCGAAAGTGGAGAATGGCCATAACGATGTCCTCACGTGGTGATAAGGCGAGTGAGGTCACCATGGTGCCGACAATGACCGTGACCGATATGTACGATGTATTCAGCGAGGTTGTAAATATGACGTTGAGCCCCGGTGATGACGGAACCGGACGGAACAGCACCGTTCAGGCCGTGATAGCCGACTATGGCAATGATGTCACGTCCAACGAGATGGTCCGGGTAGTGTTCTGCCTGCTCTATTCGAGCATATTCATCTTGGGGATCTTTGGTAACGTGTTGGTGTGCTACGTAGTGTTCCGAAACAAGGCCATGCAATCGGTGACGAATCTTTTCATCACAAACCTTGCCCTGTCGGATATCCTGATGTGTGTACTGGCCGTCCCTTTTACACCATCCTACACGTTTCTGGGGCGTTGGATTTTTGGAAAAGTCATCTGCCACACGGTGCCACTGGCGCAGGGTTGTAGCGTGTACATATCGACCCTGACACTGACCTCCATAGCGATAGATAGGTTCTTTGTCATAATCTACCCGTTCCATCCCAGAATGAAGCTATCTACCTGCATAACGATCATAGTCCTGATATGGATGTTCGCAATGCTGGTTACCCTCCCGTACGGTCTCTACATGAGCCATCATGACGACATGAATGGAACGCTGGCCAACGAAACCCTCCCGGAGAACCGTATCTTCTACTGCGAGGAACTCTGGCCAGAGGACATGCGAAAGGTCTTCTCGATCGCTACCTCGATTCTGCAGTTCGTCCTGCCCTTCATCATCATGGCCATCTGCTACATCTGCGTGTCAATTAAGCTGAACGATCGTGCTCGGTTGAAACCCGGCTCCAAGACGACGCGCCGAGAGGAGGCCGAGCGTGACCGCAAGAAGCGCACCAATCGAATGCTGATCGCTATGGTAGCGATCTTCGGCATCTCCTGGCTTCCGTTGAACCTCGTCAACATGAGCAACGACTTCTACTCAGACATCAACCGTTGGCCGTACTACAATCTTCTATTCTTCATCGCTCATCTGATCGCCATGAGCTCGACCTGCTACAACCCGTTTCTGTACGCATGGCTCAACGACAACTTCCGTAAGGAGTTTAAACAAGTTCTGCCGTGTTTCAATCCATCCCGAGGACGCAGCACCGTCAGCACTCGCCGATCCGAACATCGAACCTGCAACGGTAACAACGACACCGTTCAGGAAACCCTAATTCCTTCCTCCCAAGTGCTACCCCCAATCTCCAGTAGATCCCCGAATACCACAACTACAACCACGACCACCACCGATTCCAACAAGCAAACCGTCGACTCGATCCTCCTGTCCGAAATCGTCCCTCCCTCAGCTCTCATGACCAATGCTCCTCTGCTTCCTTCGATCCAGAGCCAGGAAACGATCATCCTCCCGTCCGGGGTCTTGGAAACCCCTTTCGAAGTGCAACTCCCCTTAGCTCCCAAAACCAGCGACAGTTCCAAACAGCCACCTTCATCCACCAACGGAGTGGGGAACGGGGGCCTTGCTCTGGGCATGACATCTACCAAAACCAGCAGCAACCCGAAGCTGCAATCGCTGATCCTGATCAACGACGGAACCTGCGGCGATACCAAGGTTCCGGAGATACTGTAAATCGATTCCGAGACTGATGAGAGTTTGATTTTCGACGAGCTCTGATATAACTACTACTTAGCAACTAGAATTGGTTACAAATAATTGCAACATCGATCAACCGGACGAGCGGTTTCGTGCATGTGTGTGTGTGTGTGTGTGTTATTTTAGGTAAGTACATTCACTATCTGAATCTAAGAATTACTTTTCGGGAAATTGATGAACTGAAACTTATCTTGATTCCAATAGAGGCAAACTTTTCCCCAGTCCGAATTCAACCTAGATTCCCTCGAGCAAAGCGAAGGAAGTAAGAGTTACAATAATTGATTGCGAAAACGACTTCCGACTCCCCCCCCCCCCCAGAGACAGTGTGAGTCTCGTCTCGTATTTAACTTCATTCCTTCTTACGCTACCAAACTGTGTCAGTGCAGTTGAAGCTGGAATGCGTGTGGAGGGATAACTTAATAATGCCCGGCTATTTGTCCTCTCTCAACGTCAAATTAAAAAGATAAATCGACCCCATTCGGAAGCCACCGCACAACAATCGTCGGTCGGTTCGGTTGGTGTGTCTGTCTGTGCGGACTTGGTGCTGGTTGGTGAAGCGAATACGATGCACTTTGAGAGTGCAGTTATGAAATTTGTTGGTTGATCTGCTCTGGTTCCCCACTGTGTCATTATTGTGATAATACTTGGCTGGCGTTTTAGTGATCTCTACTGACTGAAGAAGGGGATGGAAGGAGAGTAACGTATTTTGTCACTGAAGTTGGCTTGAGCTGTTTGTGTTTTGAATTAATTTGAATGTTTGGTGCCCTGATAATCGGTAGTGATGCGAAGGGCTGACGTACAAAATGATGGTCACAAATTTGACCTTAACGTATGACCGGGAACATTAACCTACATGGATTTTTTTTTCTTCGACCTTTTTGAAATGCAACATAATCAAAGAGGACACTAAAAGGGCCAGACTTTCATCCTATACAAGACTCACCTGCCGGATTTTGCCGGATTATTGTCTGTGAGGGCACAAAGTATGACAATTTCTTTACTAAATTTGTGAATAACTCAGCCTGTGGACATAACAACGCATTAAAACTTCGTCAAATATTGGTAGCACAAACGTCGGGTCTGTGGTTTTGATGTCACATTCTGATGCGATTTGGAACTGTCTTTACTTTATACAGCTTTAGTCCCAAACACTGTTTTGAATTTTGGACAAAACCAACCACCGTTTGAACAGAGAGATTCGGGTTTTCCTTCAATATCCTCTTCAACTTTCGGTCCATGACAGTATCAGCACGTCGAATGTTTTTATCACATCTCGGTTTCCTCTCGACCGTCAAAAGTTCCGAAAATGATTTGAGCATACCGTGAACAGGTATTAAGGTAAATCCAATTTTGTTGCGAGTTTCCGTATTGACAAGTCAGAATTTGCATTACGTCCGTAAAAAATCCGCTCGCGCACGTCGCCATCTTGAACACTAAACATTGAATGTAAACACCAATCATAGTATTTTTCATTAATGACTATACGTCAGCAAAATTTTTATCTCCTACACGGTAAGAAAAAAGTTCCCAACGACCAGTTCACTTTTACCTACTTTTGAATAGTTTGTCTCCTTTTCTTCTTCTAATGTTGTCAAAAACGGAGGAGCAAAACCACCCAACAGGGGTAGTAAAGTGTGGGAACCCAACGTTACGTATAATCATGTTTACCTACTTTTCGGTACAACCAACCTTCTTTTGGGTAGAAAGCTAGTGGAAAATTCCATACGAATTGCACACAACTAAAGGAAACCAATTTGACCCGCTTTGCCTACTTTTGGGTTCCTGCACTATAGTGCCGATATGAGTGAAAAGAACTTACTTTTGGGTACTTTTTTCTTACCGTGTACGTGCAATGTTTCAAAAGAAATTATATTCGGCACAGCTTAGGCACATCCATCGGCACACCTTCGATATACCTTCTGCTCACCTTCGGCACAATCACGTAGACATTGGATTGTTGTGAATAAAATGGGAGCACTGCTGGAAAACTGTGATTGAAGTTATTCACAACATTACGAGCTGTTTGACTGTTTATTCAGGAATATCCTCTAATTGTATATACCAGAGAAACTCAGACCAGCAGTTCCCTTATAGATCTAAATACGAAATGTAAGTTCTAGAGCGGACTCAAGAGAAAGAGGCAGTTAATTAGACCCCATTAGTACCCATTTTATTTAATTTAATGTTAAGGAAATTTTTATCTTATAACATATTCTGATGACGGCGATATAAAAATTAGACAAATTTAAAAAAATTTCACCAAAATTTCACACACCCGCCACCACCCGCGTCACCCTCAATCCGATTTATCTTTGCGATTTCAAACCAAAATATTCATGGTGTCAGAAATACCGGGTTGCCGGGATGGGTATTTTAAAAACAATCGTAGCTTGCTCTATGACCGGCACAAACGGCATACCTGCGGCACACTGACAAAAAGTCCCGGGGAACCTTTCTTTTTGAACCACCACCTACATACGACACATAAATGAGAACATTGGTGGCCATATAAAGCGGGCTTGCTTCCACTCACTTGCTATAAAAACATGATTTTCTGAATTTTGAAATCATTAAATGTTATAATCACATTTTGTACTTGTTAGATACAAGAAGAGGTTGAAAGGCAAGTGTTTGACACATGAAACCTGTCAAACTTGCTCACTCTGAGTGAGCGCTCACGAATCATAAGATCGCTTATTGTAACAATTTGGTAGGGAAATTGACAGCTTTTATGAGTCAAACACTTGCCTTTCAACCTCTTCTTGTATCTAACGAGTACAAAATATCATTATAACATCTAATAATTTAAAAATTCAGGAAATCATTTTTTTATAGCAAGTGAGTGGAAGCAACCCTGATATTAAGTACTCAGTACTACGTTGGTCAGATCCGGACATGATTCGGATACCCCCGGAGAAGTGAAAGTTGAACCTTCATCCTCATGTGACACATCAAACTAGCTCAAAAATATGAACATTGGTAGCCATATTAAGTATTCAGGATCACGCTGGCTAGAGATATTTCGGGTGCTCCCAGGGACTTTCATAAATTTTCCAAAAATTTCCTGATGCCAGTGGAACTTCTCCGGAGTTCACGGAGCTTCCCTGAAATTCTCTTCAGAATTACTCTGAAGGTCTCCTCAGAACTACTCTGAAGTTCTCCTCAGACGCACTCTGAAATCCTTGTTGGAACCAGGGAATGACCTAAACAGAGTGGAACCACGAATCTGCGTCGCAATCGGTAGAAAAACACGGACAACCGGAGAACTGTTTACACACGTGAATATTTAATGCGATTATTTTGGGGTTAGATACATGACAGATGAAAAATATAAAAAGCACAGTTTGTTTACTTTCCCTGCTGGTCCTGTGACTAGGGCTGTTGATATTCACCAGTGCATCAGCGCCCTGTGACTGGATACACCGACACTCCTCTTCGCTGATCACTGGAGTTCCGTAACAGACTTCCGCTTTAGGCACAGACCAAGATTCTCCGCGAACAACTGCATCTTGGTTGCGCCGAGTGGCTTCGTGAACACATCCGCGATCATTTTTTTCTGTATGGCAATAGCGTAATTAGATGACCTCACGACTACAGAGATCCCGAGCATGGTAAAACTTGGTATCGATGTGTTTGCTCCTTTTGTTCTGCCGCTCCAGCGAAACGAAGTCAATGCAGCCGCGATTGTCTTCGTTTAAGATGGTCGGTTGGCGCTGCTTATAGCCTAGCTCTTCCAACAATCTCCGGAGCCAGGTTGCCTCCTGAGCCGCCTCAGATAGCGCGACGTACTCGGCTTCCATCGTCGACGTCGCCACGCACGCTTGCTTTCGACTAGCCCAACTCACGCTCGCTTCGCCTATCTGGAACACAAAACCGCTGGTAGACTGTCGATCGGTGATGTCGCCGGCCCAATTAGCATCACTGTACCCGACTAATTCCAAATTCTTCGTCCGATCGCTAGCCAATTTCAGTTGGAAGTCCTGAGTTCCGATCAAGTATCGGACAACACGTTTCAGTTCTAACCAGTCCCGCTGCATGGGACAGTTTGTCTTGCGGCTCAAAATAGAGACTGCCGCTGATATATCCGGTCTTGAGTTCGTTGAGATGTAGAGAAGCGCACCGACTAATCTGTGATACTGCGTATTATCCGGAAGTTGCTCTCCACCATCCAGGCGGAAATAACCTGGATCCACCGGATACTTCGACGGTTTGGCTTCCGTTAGACTGAATCGATCCGCTACTTCGCGAATCAAACATTTCTGGCTCAGCATATACATCCCATTACTGTCTTTCGTCACGTTAATACCGAAAAACTGCTTTTTTTTCCCAAGAGAGGAAATCTTAAAATGCTTTCGCAGCGCATTCTCGACGAAATCGATTTGACGTCCATCTCGGCATACAAGGATCATGTCGTCAACATAAATCAAACGATAAATCAACTCACCGTTCGACAGTTGCTTACTGAAGAGACAAGCTTCCGCTTCCGTTTGCCGGAATCCAAGACCTTGATGGTCGCATTCCAGACTCTAGCGGCCTGCTTGAGTCCGTTAATGCTGCGATCCAGTTTGCACACGAGCTCCTCCTTACCCTGCACCGAGTATCCTGGTGGCTGGCGCATAAAAATTTCTTCTTGCAGCACTCCGTTCAGATAAGCATTCTTAACGTCCACATGTTGCACTTGAAGTTGCTTATGACCCGCCACAGTCAATAGCACCCTGAACGTTTGCTGCAGTGCAACTGGTGCGTGAACTTCATCGAAATCTTCACCGTAACGTTGTGCGTAGCCCTGAGCAACCAGCCGCGCTTTAAAACTCACTGTTTGTCCACTTGAGTCCTTCTTCTGTTTAAACACCCACTTCGACCCGATTGCGTGCCGCCCTTTTGGCAGAGGAACGAGCCTCCAAGTATCGTTCGAAAGTATCGATTCATATTCACTGTCCGTAGCCTTTAGCCATTCTTTCTTGTTAACACTTGCTACTGCTTCCTTATAGTTCCTTGGATCACGCTCCTTCACGCCCACAATATAGTTTTCAAGTTTCTTCGGTAAAGCACCCGCGGTACTTCGCTTCGACCTTCTAGCACTCACTTCATCATCACTTTCTTCGCCTTCAGGCTCTTCTGCATCC